TTAGCTGTCGACAAGCAAACAAGACGGGGCCTGTGGCTAATCCAAGCTTCAGATCTGCTGCTGTTGGTTTCCCCAGATGGTCAGCACACGATGTAAAATCCAGCACATCATCTATTAGCTGGAAAGAGATAAACATACTTAAAACTTTTTTTTTTTTTCCAACTAGAATTAGCTATAGAATGATCCGTTTTTTAAGAAAAGACTTATAGAAAATATTAAGATCCCACTTTTATTTCTAAGGCAGTTTGAAAAGTTTAAGTTTTAGATTACCTTCAGTTCAACAAAAGCACTACCTGAAAAGCTATGCCAACATTTTTTCCGTACTGGTATGCAATCTCATGAACTTTGGGATCAGGGCAGCCTAGAATTGAAACCTAAAAAAAACAAAAAACAAAACACAAAACCAAACCCAAGTAAATAGAAAGCTTTAGTCAGCATACACTTTTAGTCTCTGACCATAGGTGTGACATAGCAAGCACAGACAGTAGGGGTCTGGGAAAGGAAAAAAAGCTGACTCAGTAGCACATTCTCGCCTATCGCTGTTCATGGACACACACAAATAGCCAGGCTTGTTAGATAACAGGCTGGACAGCAGTGCAGAATTAAAAATATTTTCAAGCCTGGAAAGTGATTAGCTTTATTAAATATTTATCAGACAGAAATTATAATGAAGGATGAAGAGAGAAGAAATGTGGATGCACTGCACATGCAGGCTGGTAGTCATAAACAGTCCAGTGACAGAGGAATTCAGTTTATTACATATATAAATCACCCAGGGGATAATTAGAGGTCAGACAACAAATAAATGGCCATTACATGCCTCATAAAAGATCCACAAAACTGGATGTGTTGTACCCAGCATAGGAGAGGCAGTTACAGAAGATTATTTTTACAGGTGTTGTTTACTATAACTGAATTGCTCGGAAGATGAGCTGATTAGCTTGAAGACAAAGGTATCAAGGGATAATTAGTGGCAAAGAAGAGACAGTGAAGAAAGTACAGCAAGCTAGACAAAAATACCACTAAACTGAGATAAAGAAATAAAACATTTTTACTGAGTACAGAAAAAGGAATCAACTACTTGAGAGACAGATGTTTTTCTGAGTAAACTCCACAAAGCTAAAATATAGGACACAAACTAAGATCTGAGAATTAATACCTTGCCTCAAAGTAAGGGCACTCAGTGCTTTTGCATTTGTGCATTGAATATACACTTCGTAAAATGAGGTGGGTTATTTATGTTTACTCAAGATTTATTCCAGCCTTCAATAGAGGAATTAGGAACAGGTGACAAAAATCCATCCTGTTTTACTGCAAACATTCCAAATCCGCTGCGACTATCAGGAGGAGTGAAGATACGTTTTACTTAACGTAAGACTAAAAATACATGCTAGGAAAAACATGACATAAAAATGTGTGTATATACATAATTCCTCTTTAAGACTACACTAAGTAGGGCCATTAAAACAAAACAAAAATACAACCCCAAAACCAACTCCAAACTAAAAGCAAGTCCAGTAGTAGCTTTGAAGATGAACACGAAGATAGACATATAAACATTACAGCCTAATAAATGCGATGCAGCTCACACAAGATTAGAGACTATTTCATGCATCCGTTAATTTCCTAAACGAGCATCAGAACACTTCCCAGTCACAACCTGCATCCATGGGTAATTGTTAATGCCCAGAGGAATCTGGATGCCCGAGGCATTAATGGCATCTCACAATTCCCCATTTTATTTAAAAGAGGAGGACAGTTAGCAGGAAAATAACGCCACTTACTTTGCAATCATACAAAATCATAATAAACCAGAGTGAACTTACTGCAAATATGAGAATGTCTATTTAAATAGACATTGCTAGGGACTATCAAATGAGAACATTTTGCCCTTTTATCCTCCTTTTGATGCTTGTCTCTTAAATACCAGTAGTTGCCCCAAAGAGCTAACATCTGCTGCTGTACCCTGCCTAGCAAACTTTTGATTGCTTCTCTAATATATATCAAATAGTATCATCAAGTCAAGGGGACTTCCTCTACCCTGTTTCATGAAACATTTACCTACATTTCATGTGAAGAATTAAAATATGGAATTCAGTAGAACAGTGATAAGAGCCTGGTTAATGGCAAAGGATCAGAGTAGATAAAAGTTGGTAAATGGAGAGAGGAAGTGCCATGTAAAGAGAACTTTCTCATTTAATCTAAAAGATCAGGATGGAGTTATTCTTGTAGGTGAACAGTTTTCTGGGGACACAGACATTACCTATATAAAAAAAAATCAGCAGTGTACGTACACTTAAACACCAGAGGCAAAGTTAATCAATGCAAAATTAATTCTTGCATCTTTGAAAAGATAAGACCTTCATAGCTCCTATTCAGGTTATAAACATTTCTGAAGACAAAATTTAAAAATCCAGATTGATGTGCCCACCACACCTCAAGTGACCAACTCTCAGACCATAATCACACGAGCAACCTGCAACATGAATGGGTCTTGTCCATCAGGGAGTTCCTTCAGGAGCCAATTTCTCCACTTGCTCTTGTGGATTATTGCCCCCATCTGGACACTCACTGGGACGCAGGCTGGCAGCCTCATCTCAGTCAGCCTGTCACTCAGAGTGACAAAGTTTAACTGAAGCCATACTGGGCTAATTTACAAATACAAATCAGGACAACAATGTCAATATAATGACACACATTTAAATTATAAAGCTCACCCTCTGGAAATATCCTATAGCTCCCCTGGTATGACTGGCTGATTACAAATTTAAATATTGCAAGAATCCAGAGTTGTCCTCCACTAAATCCTGATCAAAAATCCTTCTTAATACCAAGGGGAACAAATTCTTTAGAAAGGTTCTCTGAATGCAGTAAAGCAAATCAATCTTCTTGGCATCATTTCAAAAACACTTTTTATTTTAAAAAATTGATTCTATTATTTTATATTACACAAGAGACTATAAGCCAACCTTGCCTCTTTATTGAATTCCACATCTATAAAATATTCTGTCATCAGCTCTGGGTAGATAAGTTACAGAGTACCATGTGAGGAAATGGCAGCTGGAGTTGAAAGCACTTGTGCATTTGTACCATTGGCCTGTATACCAGTGGGGAAGACCTGCTGCTGGGCAGGGATATGTTTGTATGAACAGTATCAAGAGATGTTTGGTCTCACACTCCTAGGTTTGTGGACACCATGGAAAGGAGAAGGCTCTAAAATCTTCCCCTTTTCCAGCCTTTCTCTTCCATTTTAAATAACAAGCAAGGAAAGTTATTGGCTGACCATAATATCTGATGCTACTGATGCCATCACCCTACATCTGTCATTGGACTTTATTGTAGTCTGCATGCCAAGCTGGTCCTGGGGGAGGGGAGGGGGGATCAATTTTGCTGGTGGGGATCAGAGGTCTTAGTTTTCCTAGACAGTAGCTCCACACCCTAGTAGGTTTTTCTGAGGAAGCCCTGTGCACACACCAAACTGTGAACTGGTTAAAGCAGGATCTCACAGGCAGATCCCAGAGCTGCATACTGTTCTTCTTCAGTCCCTAATGCAGACCTGCCACATGGAGCCCTGCCTTACATGCAGAGGCTGTGTGCTTTCTCCTAACAGAGAAATCAAGAATCTCTAGTGCAACTTTATTCTTATCTCAAGCATGGTTTAATCCCTCTTCTGAAAGCATGCTAGGCAAAATATAAACAGCTTTATGAGGGTTAGGAATTCACAGTACAGCAGGATAAAAAAAAAAAAAAAGACAACCTGCTCAGTTTATTTTGCCATCCCCATCCCAGCCTGTCTGATGACTAATAGAAATTCCACTTCAACTTTATTGTTTCTGAATTCTTGAACCAAAGTCAGCTCTCATATTTCTCAAAAAAAAGTCTTTCAGTAACTAAGGCTTCAGTGACCCTCTGGGCCATCTGCCACCATTTCCTTTGCTACTGTATGACTGACTGCAACTTTGGTAACCTTTCCTCATGTAGAACTATTGTAGAAATAAACTGGAGTCTGGGATGGCTCTACAATCTTGAAGAGACCCATTCTGTCCATAAAATAAGTTTTGTTAACGTAAAGGACTTTTGATTTAAATGCAGTAATGCTTTGGTGATGTAGAACGTATCTAATGCAGTGACTATCCCACTGCTGGCAGACTATCTATTATCTTGTCCAGACGTTTTTCCAGGAATACTCTTCTCTTCCATCTCTATGGCATGACACTGGGTAATTCTGCAACACCACCTGAACTTGCTTGACGTCTTCTTTCCAGTTAATGCTTTTATCTTATTTATGCACAGAAACTAATCACTGCTTTTTCCCCATCACTAACAGGAACTGAACAGCTTCTAATGACACACTAGCCTGGCTGTAACTGATGTTCTGAAAACCAGCAATCTTTCTCCTTAACTTTGTTCCTGAAAACAAGATGAAAATAATCTGGGGAATCACAAGTATTGACAAGTCAGAGTTTGTGATCCTGCTTATCATTTTCACTACAGAAAACAGAGCTCCCTTCTGATTCCATCCTTTTCCTTAGTTGCAAAACCACCTAAAGAAAAATTCCCAATTCCCAACACCTCCAGCCCTCAAAACAAAACAAATCAAAAAAAAAAAGGCACATTTGGAAGAAGACTCTAACCAGCAAGAAGGTTCTTTTAGAAAGATTGTCAAAGTGAATATAAATACTTGTATGTTTTTATTGGCGTAGCAAAAAAATGTGATGTTCCTTACTAGTCCAACTGCCCACTAATATAAATAAAGATTTGCAAAGGGAAATTCTTGCCAGGGTCATAGTGCCATTAATATGAGCAATCCAGAAGACTTAATTTCTTTCCTCCAACTACGGAAGGTATTTTCCCTCCCCACAAAATCTGTGCATCTCATTCCATATGATCCCTTTGATTTAACCAATTTTCAGTTGCTGTCTGTTGCACAAATGTACAAGTTGTCTTAGAACAAAGGAGGACAGCTAACCCACAGATTTTGTCTAAGAACTCCTTGCTATAGCATACATCAGCTTTATTGCCTTTAATAAAAAACCAAAACTTCTCCTCTGGGGTGAAATTATTGCCCACTTCCATTTTCTGTACTAAAACTAAACATGCTTTTTGAGTAAGAACATGATCTTTCTGTAAACAGATCTTTTTGTAGCAAAAGATTTCAACAGATTGAAAACAGATCTTTCTGTAGCAAAGTAACAGAACTGAGTGACAGAGCTGCATAGAGCAACTGATAATTAAAAAAAAAAACAGGCAAGTACAGAAGCACATGCTTCTACTCTTTTACAACGTAATGCAGAGCATACACAATCAGCTGTTTCCTCCCAGTGTTATGATTTAAGGTTTCACCTGGCACTAATGAATGGGACCAGGTGTCAAATAAGACTTAAAATCAAATTATAGGCCCAAGAATTATCAACGGAGATTAAAAATACTATCTCAAAGTTGCAGAATTTCATAAACCAAAGGCTCTCACTGTGAACCTTATTTTGATTCAAGTGAGGATAACAAATCTGTGTATGAATATAAAACAGAAAAGAAAAAGTGAAAACTGGCATTGGAGATTACACAGCTAAAGTGTGATAAAATGCACAATCACATACTGGCAAAATATCATTTAAAGGGTTTGCTATGGAGAGTCTCCAGAGAAAACAGCAGTAACTAGTTTAGCTGTGGAGCTTATAGTATGGTATGTTAACTTTAGAAGAGACAGACGTACATACTGCTTTACAACTGTTTGCTATAAGACTTGCAGTCTTCTTAAAAGTCTTCTCGAGGTAGTGAGCAAATCTCTCATTCTCATTTTCCTTGGAACCCAACTGGAGGAATTCACCTAAAAGTTGCACAGATGGGAGTTTTCATTTGTGGGTTTTACTGCTTAGGCAAGCAAATCTGAAGATAAAACCAGAAAAAGACCTTACCACGCACCAGATCTTCAATCACCTGAGTGAGAACAGAGATGATAGTAGTGTTTCCAATTCGCGCTAACGCTACGGAAGCAGCTGAGAGGATGAAGTCACCAGCTAGAACAGCCTACAAATAATAATTTTTAAAAATTGGTATTTTAATTTTTTTCCTGTATGTGTTCATACAGACAATACAATTTCCTTTATTTGGCAGGTCTACTCACACCACATCATTTTCCTACATAACACACACATCTCTCATTGTAACAGAGAGGAAACAGAAGGTAACCAAACACTAAACTTTGAACCACTTTTGAATCCTTGTCTTACAGAGACATTTGTACTTTTCTGTATATCCTCCTTGTATGCAGTATCTGCATAAATTTGCCTGTAAAGATTTTTGAACAGTACTTCTCTGTTTGACCGCTCTGTAGTGACTATTATGCCATGTTAGCTCTGAATTGCCATGACAAGTTCAGTCAGCAGTGTACTACTTTCCTTGCCTTTTCTGTTTAAGACCTTCCTTTTAATGCTCTATGAAGAAACACCTCTCAAAAATAAATTTAAAAAAATGTAGTGCCAACAGAAACACTTCTACGTTTGCTACTTAATCAGAATAATATACAGTGTTCTGGATGAGGTACAAATTCAAAGCATTCCATCAGCACTGCAAAGAACGGCATAAGGAAGAAAATCAGAAAACCATACTAAAATCATACATTATCTAATGCTTCTAACCGGTTCAGAAAAAGAACACACATTTGTCTTACACACAATCTGTGCACACCTCTTCATATTTTTTCTGGCATATCCCAAGACTGTGCCTAGACATAATTATGTGACAAATCCCCTAGGTATTTGTGCTCTTCTGAAACTGAAAAAAAAGTCTTGCACATAATAGCAAACTCACCTTCCTCTCTCCCCAAATTTGGTTGACTGTCATTTTTCCTCTGCGAGAATTTGCATCATCAATAACATCATCATGAACTAGGCTAGCTGTGTGGATCATCTCAGCAATTATGGCCACAGAGCGCTGGCTTGCTTGCACCTCCCTAAAATAAACCATAAGAACTGTCAAATAGTTACATCAATTACATGTGCTGCAGTACACTAGAAGAAAGCTCTATTAAAACCAAAAATTTTTTTCTCTGAAAACAGCCGTCATAGCTTTTCCATGGTCTGAACCCCAGCTCTCAAACCTGGAATTCAGAAGACAAGAGAGAGTTAGATCACGTTAGTGCACAGTAAGTGCAGTGGGACGTTCCCATTCTTCAGCCTGTGCCTGCCTGGCTGCATTAACAGCACTGCAAAACTCCCCAGTTACTGACTCTAATCCCTCTAAAGCCTGACTGCAATAAATAGCACAGCACCAAGGATGCCTGGCTGCAAGAAACTGAAAATCTAGAAAATGGAGAGGAGAGAAAGCCAGGCAGCTCCATAGATGAGTTTTGAGTTTTCCCCATTTCTGTGTTGCTCTACCTGTAAGAGACAGCATCACAAACTTTCCAAAGCTGACTAACTCTACTAACCAGAAACCTGGTAGTAGAAACAGATCAGCAGGCACAGAAACCTGCTATTCTACATCTGAAAGACATAACTCATGGATCTTAACCTTTATGTTACCTGATTACCTTAAGACCTCAGAGGGTCTTCAAAAGCCTTTGGAATTAACTGGAATTACACAGCAATCACTTTAGGACTGTAAACACCAGCTGCCTAACACTTTCTGAAATTCAGCCTCTGGGAAGATCTAACACAGATGAGTCAGCCGTCAGTAATTCACACCTACTTTATTTTTTAATCTAGGTGAAAAGAAGAACATAGAAGAAATTATCTAGGGAATAAAGTTGGCAAAATGCACATAAAAGAGCCAACCTAGCTCACACAAAGGACTATCTACCCTAGTATCCAACTGCCACTGCCTCCTTCTAGTATCTATCTTTTTCTCTTTTTCTACCCGTTTTCCTCACAGGTTGAATGCAGGATCCCAGAAATGGCTATCACAGTCAGCCTTGCCTTAAGGCTGTAACAAGCCTGCATGGGCATTGGGGGAAAAAAAAAAAAAACAAAAAACAAAAAAAAAAAAAAACCACCCAAAAGGAAAAAACCCAAACCAGCAACAACAACAAATTACTTCTGACATATAGATACCTTACTTCCGGTACACAAATAACAGCAGAGCAAATCATACTATTTTCCATCAGAACACAGAAAGAACTGACAGAAAAAGAAGATCATTTCAGCTCAGCTGAAGGGAAATAAAAATCCTACATTGCCTATGTCTATTAAAATTTAGTGATGAATCACAAAATGAAATACCATGTTAAGAGTCTGCTGACATAACCTTGTGTTCTGACACCTACCTCTATGCAGAGCTCTGCATTGCTGTCAGTGGGAGTTCTAAATCCTGAACAATAGCAGGATGTGTGGCTCATAGGCTATGAAAATGTGGCTTTTAAACAACAGAAAGTAAGAGCTGGAAACCTTCGTGATTGTTTGAAGGTAAGTTTTACTGTGGACTAGTAATTTAGTCAAATGCTAGTTCAGTGTAAGTAGTTTTCCAAAATAAACTGTTGTTACTAAGTAGGAGAACTTACCTTCAAAAAAATTGTAAAGGTCTCCAGCCTCTTTCATGCACTGGTCTCCTTTTTGGGACTCCCTTTTTCATTAATTATGTCAGCAGACTGGACTTCCTGCTGGGAAGTAGCAGTAAATGGCAACACTCACCGAGACACCAAAATCTTTCAGTAGTATGAAGACAGCACAAGGACAGACATTTCAAAAGCAGGTTTCGAAAAGTTGTGCATTTTAGTGCATTTCACCTCTGACAGTGACTAAAAATGGCAGAGGAATGCTCATGATTCATGCGTCTGCTTCCCAGAATGTTATATCAAATGTGATAATTTAAACTGAAGGGCTTTTCAAACTACTGTAAGGTCTCAAGCAAGGTTCTTCCCATCGCTGGCAAAAAATTTTGCCAGTTGCCTACAAACACCTTCTGAATCAGAGCATGCCTATTTTAGGGAAAACACAAGAAACAGGATCTTTCTCATTCCCTGCCATTTTTCATTCTGCTTCACCTGCAAAGCAAAAGTAAAAAGTAGCAGTAACTCAAGTCAATAGGTGTGTCCCAACAAGTTCAGTAAGTTGAAAGATGCCATTTTTAGGTAATTCTCAAAGTAAAGGCCCCCCAAGATGATATGACTTTTACACAAATTTTTTATACAACTCTAAGTTCATCTTCTTACATGTACATTATATTAATGTTTAAGTCCTTAATCACATTCTGTTTTTTATTCGGACCCCCTGCTTGATTCTGTGTTGTGCTTTTATAGACCTACAGCACCCGAGTCTTTTCCATTACAGAGCTTGTTTTGTGTGCACTGACCAAGAGCAAGGCTGATCTTACAGGTTAAAAACAAACCAACCAACCAACCCACCCACAAAAACACCAAACCAAACATACCTCTCCCTCCAAATATCCCTCTTCACAAAAAGGAAAAAAAAAAAAAAAAAAAGGGAGGGATGTGGGGTAATTTCAAAACAACACAAAACATTATTTACACTCTGCACCAAGAAGCTTTGCAATATGTTTGCCCATAAGTAAATATTGCCAGTTTAAAAGACAGGAAACGTGCAAAAGAACTTGCAAAATTTCTGTGTTGTGACGACACTCCTCGAAGTACATTTTTGCTGTTAAGTCCCTGTGGCTGAAGGAAAGGAACATTTCAGAAGCACAGCTGGTCACACCTAACTCAGGGAAGCACAGGCAATACATGTGTTAACATAGGAGCAAACCACAGAGCAGCTGAAAACCAGCACACAGTACAGGCATCTGACAACCATGGTTTGGAGGAGTGAAAGAAAGGAGGACTAAAGTTGCTGGCAGGTTCTAGTATCTTTAGGGAACATTATTCTCTTGAGTTTAACTGGCTCGTTATATTTAAGTATTTCTTCCACTATTCTGATGGATTTATTTCCCTTTTCCGTCCCCAAATCTTTTGTGGTCACTATTTTCTCTATTGAGATGTCTCTGTACTACTTTGGCCTTCTCTTATTTGTCTCTCCCATTTTGGATGCAGAAATAGAAATACATCCTGACAACTTTACAACTCGTAAACATCTCTGGAGAATACATCCCAAACAGAAACATTAAGTCCAGTCAGGCTAAGTGATAATTCTGTGAAATTCTGCACACAGATACGTGAAGAAACACCAGAGGATGTGTGAAATTGAAAGTCTGATTGACCTCAGCTTAAACTCTTTACAATTCTCAGTCTCACACAAAGCTGAGTTGTTATCATTAAGCAAAAAGCCATTGCCCAAGGGACCTAAGGACTCAGGGTTGGATTTCTGACACTTTGATTTTCTCAAAGGGAAAAAAAATCCAGCATACCAGCACAGAACAATTTGAATGCTTCACTTAATTTTTTTCATAGTAGTTTGGATTCTTTATACAACTGCCTTATTATGACTGCAATAAAGCCACATCAGTCTATAAAGACAGTTAACCCACTAGGTATTCTAGGTATTCCTCACCTCTAAACAAAACTGAGCACGTCACCTAACCTGTCAGAGCTACATGGGTGTTTCCCTCCACCCATCTGAAAACTCTCAGCTATTCTGGCGGGGCTCTGTGAAGACAAAGAGGTCTCTGTGGACTGCCTCATAAGATCAGGACCTACAACCTTACAAAGCTGTGTTCTGTTATCTTAACAGCCAAGCAAGGAAGAGTATTACCTTTTCTACTAGTATGGCACCAAAAGGAAAAAAAAAAAACAAAATAAACAAATGCAACAAAACAAACAAACAAACCCACACAAAAAAAAAAAAGACCAGGAAAAAGTATGCTAGGTCCAGCAAGTTACATGAGAGTTCAATTCTCAAGAGCAGCAAGATGAAGCAGAAATTCAACATCAGTAACACAAACCCCAGAGGCAGGGAAAAAAATGCTCGGTCTGAACAGCACAGAATATTAGCTAACCCCACAAGTCTACAGATGTTGTGGCCAGTATCTTTGATTACATGTGTGTAATCAAAGGTTCAACATAGAAAAACAAGTCTGGAAGAAGAATCAATATTAACTGAGGAAAAGAGTAAAATAAAAAACTAAAATGAAATGCTTTAAGGGAAATGCTTTAAAAAGCAGGAGGAAGCACAATGGAAAGCAAGTATTTATTTGACTCGGGTCTATAGCATAGTTACAAATACATGTTTCCTTCTCTGAATATTCAATTTTAAACAGCAAAAAGTTGGAAGAATAATTTGTCACCATGAATGCTGCTTCAAGAAGCAACAAGAATGAAACTAGCACCAGTGTGAAATAGAAGTACATGTATATACAAAGCAGTTGTAACACAGCCAGCTTCAAGAAGCTTAAAAGCAAAGGAGAAAATTCTCAGTAAGTGGCTATGCACAATATGAAAGTATATTCTTTTAGCATGAACTACCCAACCCTCAAAAGACATTGGTCATCACGCATGAGCCAAAACGTCGCGAAGACCTATATAAACATAAGTGAATTTTAATTACAACCAGGACTAGAAAAAAGTGGCATGAGGTGAAGAGGAAAGTAAACACCCTGGGATTTCATTATCTTCCTTTGCTGAAACATTTCTGTTCTCCCTACTGAGAATTTCATTCTGTAAGTAACATGACAGAGATGGTGACTCAGTCTGTCCTTATACAAGGAACATTCAGATTAATGGGGGGGCTTTGGAACATCAAACATGGTTTGTAGGTGCTAACAAAAACCACAACAGGTGTACAAAAGCTGCCAAATGCCATGGACATCTATAAATCAATGTGCACCATGTGGCTGCTCTCTCCCCTCCCTGACCTCCCAAACAGGAAGGAGAAAAGGCAGAAAAATACAAATGCCTGTGGACTGAGGTAAGGAGAATTTAATACAACACCACAAAAGGAGCAATAAACAAAAGTAATAACAGTAAGAACTGTGAAACAATATATAAAGCAAATGAGACAAAGACAAACCACGAACTCCAAACAGCAACGGTGGCATGACCCTGGACCTAGAAACAGCCCCTAACCCCCAGACTGTCCAGCCTGGGCCAGCCAGACCCCAGAACACGTGCCCAGCCTAGCTCTCCTGCCACAGGCATGACATCAGCATGCTATTACCTACCCCAGTGGTAGTTCCCTCTCAACTTCAGGTGAACCAGGACATTATCCATCCCTTATTCTAATACCATCTGTGTCACACCCATCAGTTATTTAACAATTAACAACATACAATGTAATTCACTGGCTGTTCCCTGGTTTTTTGAGGGCCCCTAAGATAATTGCCAGCCCCCCCCCCCCCCCCCCCCCCCCCCCCATTAATTCTCCTTGTGGTACACATCAGAATTCTCTGTCCTCCTGCATCACCCACCAGGTGCATCCAGGTCCTAGAGCAAAAGCAATCCCATGGATGAGTTTGCCTTTGCCAGAAGCAGGGTTAACCCAGACCATCTTCCCTAACACATTCTTCATGTGCATGATGGGGACATTATCCCTTTCTACAGCACACAGGAGTTTTGACTGGGCAGGGCCAGCTTGATTGGTGGATCCTCTTGTGTTGACTAACCAGGTGTCCTTTGCTAAATTTGTGTCCCAGTGTTTGAAGACTCCTCTCCCACTGCTTTCAGAGTCCATTTTAACAGTCCATTGTACCTCTGTCTTCCCAGCAGCTGTTGTGTTACAGGGGATGTGACAGACCCACTCGATGCCGTGCTCCATGGCCCAGGTGTCTATGAGGCTGTTTCAGAAATGAGTCCTGTTGTCTGACTTGATTCTCTCTGGGGTCCTGTGTCACCACAGGATTTGCTTTTCAAGGCCCATGATGGTGTTCTGGGCAGCAGCATGGGGTACTGGATGTTTCCATCCATGCAGTGGTTGCCTCCACCATTGTGAGCACGTGGCACTTGCCTTGGCAGGTCTGCGGCAGTGTGATGGAGCCAATCTGCCAGGCCTCTCCGTATTTATATTTGACTCACAGTGCCCCATACCACTGGGGCTTTAACCCCTCGGCTTGCCTGGTGGCAGCACACGTCTCATATTCAAGGATGACCTCTGCAATAGTGTCCTCGGTCAAATCGACCCCTTGGTCTCAAGCCCATCTATATGTCGCATTTCTCCCTTGATGACCCCACTGGGCTATAAATAATTTACCCTTACATTGTCAGTCCAAATCCACAAGTCGCTCCAATCCTGGCAGCCTGATCCACACACTGGTTGTTTTGATGTTCCTCTGTGGCCCAACTCTTGGGTAGGTGGGCATCCACATGACGTACCTTCACG